TAAATGGAACTTTGGTAATAAATTGGTATTTCCTATACCGAGAGTATAACGCTCGTTAACTGCTTTTTACGCCGATTTCGCAATCACCCGCTTTCATGTTGACAAGTTAATCACGCGTCACGTACTTAATCAGACGGAGGATACGTTTTGCCCGTTTTACTTTATCCGGATCTAAGAACGCGCTATTACAATTTCGCAAGCGTTTCGTAGGAGAGTTGGTGAGGCGAGATTCTGGCAGAAACGTTGCGTAATAAAATTGAGGAGTTTAATCGCGAAGGATAGTAGAAGAGGGAGGAAAAAGGGAGGGAAAGCTTAAACCGCATAATCGATCTTATTTAAAATAATAAATTTTATATATACCTGATTGCACAATGCACGAACGATTCAACGATCATGCAACATTATAAAACAATTTCGACAGATTCATTAATAATCGATAATAGTTATTTCAGTTAATTAGATACGTGTATTGCATTATAAATTCAACGATCGTATCGTTTAAAAATAATTTTATAATTGAAATAATATATTACTTCTATTCAGATGATCTATATACGAGCATTACACGATGTATCTACTGTTCACTACTGGAAGAAGTCACGTGGGACGGTGTAGGGGCAAGAGGGATCCATCGCCTATCCCCACTTCAGGCGCTTTGTTGACGAACGTGACACCACACACTACATAGTAGCAGAGATGGCTATACGATTCTTAATCGATTCTAAAATGAATTCACGGATACTCCGCGTAAATTGAGACTGTATAATATTTTTCTTTACATTTACCAATTTTGCATAAATATATCAGCATCTCACAAATTCAACGATACATTTAAACATAAATAACAAAATCATATTAAAAACAATTTCAATTCGATTCGCTAATTCAAACGTAAGATATTTTTAACTAAATAACATTCGATGATTGATAACCGATCCTTGCTTCGATAAACAACATCGGTTTAAGAGATCGGATTCTTTCGATCGCCAACGATTAAGAGCGCACGAGGAATGAGACGCACGTGTTGCGTGTTTGACATTTGTCTGGCATTTCGAAAGTGCGCCGCTTTGATCGCTCTTGACAAATCATAACGTCGGACGATTTGAGCCGAGACGAGGTGAAAAATGATGCGCGCACCAGTGGTGGAAGAAATCGGTTCTCATTGTTCCGTGTGGTTTCCGTGTAATGGGGCTGGCTAGTGGATTAGGAAACACGGTGGTGGAAATCGCGATAACGCGTTGCCAACGAAGAGGATGATGAATGGAATCGTGTTCCATCGTGGATAACGAAGGTGGAAATACGAGGAATACCTTCGTCTCGCCTCGGTGTGCACCCGGTTTCCGGAAACCGTGTCGAGTGAATTTGTCCAGAGCAAGGATCGCTTCTGTTTCTTTTTTAAAATCGTCGAAATTTAAAATTGAAGATTATTGTAATTATTGTAATTTTTCAAACCTTCGATCGTTTCCAGAACAATCGTCCAGTGGATCTCAAAGAGCTGCAGAGTAGCTCAAATCGTCAAAACTTCATTTCGAATCTTAAAAAGTCAAAATAATAGCCGAGTAAAATGAAAAATTATAAACTTGAATGGAATTATCCAAGATATATTTATTATAATGAAATTAGGAATCTTAAGGAAAGAGTTAAAAGAATTTTCATCGTTTCGAATTTTTTCCCTAATAAACGTGTCTTTGACCTTTCGAAAGAAAGTTTATATTTAAACTTATATATTTTATTCCAATTGTTAGAAAAATTTTTTCTCATAAGTTCAATCGCAAGATCAAATTTCAAAATGAGAAAATGCAATGATATTCTCATCTCTAATTCAAAAGTAATGGCGGTCGAAGTTGTCTCGTTCACCATGCGTTCAGAAAGCAACTTCTTAGTAATCACGATGATTAATGCACAAGTTATAATGCCACTTTCAAGTTTGAAACACTATATCTCGATTTCTAAACATAACTTCGCGCTTCGTGTAACCGACAAAGTCTCGTAGGATGGATCGATGACACCGGTTAGTAATTAGTTACGATTCTAAATAGTTTATTCACGTGATTCGTGAGTTAGAGAAAAATTAATTGAAAACAAGTATTACATTTCAATAATATTATTCATATTATTACATCAAACTGATCGACTTTCGAAATGAAATATTTATTCATCCTGGAAGAAAACGCCTATTTTTCACACATATTTTTGTTTCTATTCCATGGTATTTGTCCAAAACAATCTGTATTTTAATAAACCTCACATAGCATAGGCATAGAATTCAGAATATTCTAAAAATTTTGTTATTTCTCATAATGTGTATAAATTATGATTTCTAACGATAGTTTAATTTATAAATGTGATTTTATATTCGAATAATTAAAATAATAATTGTATGTATATTAATATCAAAATAATTAGTAATTTCGAAAATATTCCAATTTCCATTTAAATGATTATTGTAATATAATTTCATAAATGAAAATAATTTTTACGAATATTCAAATTATAGCTCTTCTTCTACTGTAGTAGCGTGTGGTGTCAAAATTGTCAACAAAGCGTTCGAAGTGGGGATAGGGCGGTCCTAGGCGAAGGACACATCTTATCTCTATGTCGTTCCCCGAGACTTCTTTCCAACAAAGTAAACAGTACGTGTTACGTTTCTCCTAGCGTACGTTTTCTTTACTCATTTCTTTACTTTTCTTTTCTTTACATTTCTTTACATTTCTTTACTTTTTTTATTTTTTTTTTTTTTGTAAAAAAAATACAATTTCGAAGAAAAGTTTATTGCAATATCCCGTCTCGCTCGAAGAAACAAGAATGTCATTTATTTTCGAAGATTTTTTTCAAAGATTTATCGTATCTCGAATATGTTTTCTTCAGCCTCATGAAGTAGAAAGTAGTAATTAATATAACGATTATAAATGCTGTTCCACGGCTGTCCTTTTTCGTTTAACATTTCCCTTGTATCATCGTCCTGTCGGCCTTCGCTGCATTCAACCTTTGACGCCCAAGTGGGGGATTATGCCAATAACGTGATTGACGTTGCAGCTGATAGTGCCGGATAGCGTACATTTTTTTCATAATCCTTCGACGATCGATCGATCGATCCTTTGATAATACTTGGCGAGTTAGATAAGCGCAATATAAACGTAAAATGTTTCATACGAAAATTATTAAGAAACGATACGATATGTTGAGCGATTTATGTCGAAAAAATACACTTTGAATAATATATTTTTTATAACGATTTCATAACGATTCTTTTAATTTACTTTAAATTACTTTTCAAACACGTGATTATCGTATAAAATAGATTTCTTTCTAAAACCGTGAAATCCGCAAGAAATCGTCCTCTCACGCGATAAATCATTGTCGCGAAAATCATCATTAGGAGAATGGCACCTTTCTTATTTCTCGAAGTTGAAGTACTCGCGCGGAATGCTATTAGTAAATGTCATTCGGAATAAACAGCCGTGCTAATATTTTTTTTTCTTTTTTTATTTCATTTTCCATAATTAACGTATCTTCATTTTCCGTTTCTTCAATTTACATATTTATCGTTTGATAAATTATACATTTTATTCGATCGTAAAAACCTATTCGGCTCGATTCACAACGGTGACGAACATCGAGCAAATTGGTGCACAGTATTCACACAAGTTAGAAAAAAAAAAAAAAAAAAAAAAAAAAAAAAAAAAAAAATACATACATATTGGAAAATCTAAATAAAAATTTCTATTGTTCTACCAACTTGCTTACAGAGATCCAATCCAATCTTCCTCAAGAGAGAAATCGAAATCGAAATCGATCCACGTGAAATCACTTAAACCCATCGTCGAATCGTGCGTGAACGCGAGTCGCATGATTAATCGAGCGATGCTTGTTTCCACGGATTTTGCATTGTAACGCCGGGAAGAGGTTCTCTTTCCTCTTCGAAATCGGCGCCGTTCACTTTCTTTGGAACGACTTCGTACACTTGAGGAGGCCAAGTAGAATTTCTTTTTTCTCGCCAAGGAATCCTTACGCGAACTTCTCTCCACCTTTCCATTTCCTTCTCGTTCCAACACCTCGTTCCCTCGTTGGCAAGGATCCGGGTGAAAGGAGGATCGAGCGAAAAAGGGACGTCGCTCGTGCTCGGTAAGGATAAAAAGGAGACGATTGGAAGAGGGAGCGCGAGCAAGAGAGGGGGAAGAGATTCGAGCTTCCGTATATTTCTTTATAGAACGGAATATAGATTACTCTTTGTAAACCGATTAATTGATTTTGATCTCACGGGTCGTTTAATTTCGTTTATTTTTCTTTGCATTTATCTTATCGGCATATATGTATAGCGAGCGTATGTAGTCGATTTTATCGATAGCGTATATTTTTGTTGTTCGTATTACTTTGTATGCTCTGTTTAATGGTTAACAACAAATGTTAAGAACAAAATAATTTCATTTTCTTTTTTTTCTTTTTTTCCGAGAAAAAACTACTTGTTATCACGTGTTATCGTTTTAATTATTTAACAATAAAATAAAATAGATATTTAGTTTACTACAGGTGTTGTTAAGATATTTATCCGTGTGATAAAATAACGTGTATTGTATCTCCTATGCGAATTTTGTTACATGTATAGTCATTGAGTTTATAATGAATTATTTTATGATAAATTATTTTTTATAATAAAATATTAATAAAAAATTTTTCAATTACCATGTTATTAAGAGAAGGGAAGAATTATTACGAAGAGATATCTTCGAGAGATATATTTTTAACAAATCGACGAGGATTTCGATCTCGATTAAACGGATCACGGATCATCCACCGTCGTCAATCGAATCGTGACACTCGAGGAGCGGATTTTTTGCTTTAACAAGCAATCTTCGTTGATGAAATCTCGCGATCGATTTCATGACTCTATTATTGCTCCCGTTTCGAATGTTTCGAGAAAATAAGGTAAGAAATATACGAGATAATAAACCTTCTCGTACACTTGTTATCAATCTTCAAGGAAACTAACCTAACTTAATTTCTAATCTAATCTAATCGCTTCCTAAATCTTCAAACTTGATCATACCTTCTTCTCCGTACATATTTCTTCGAGTTATCTCTCGTAATAAACGTTCTGTTGGCAAAAAAAAAAAAAAAAAAGATTTACGCTGAAACATCCGTTTTCCTCGATTCTAACCTAACTTAATCGTACTCTCTCAGTTTTCGATTACCTTTCCTCCTTGATCCTTCTTATGGAAAATCAATTATTATCTTCTTCCCTCGTTTCCAATTTTTCAAAATTATTAAAATTCAAAAATGGAACGTTCTTCGTTTCCTTTCGAATCCTTTCCTTTCCTTTCCTTTCGTTAAACTTTTCGAGAATCCCTTCGACAATGCGATATTCAAAATTACCCTCGGTTGAGAGAAAGAGAGAGAACTGAAAAAGAAACAATTAAGAGTGAAGAAAGAAAAATGAACAGACACGCAAGCACCCATTTAAACGTATTACACGGGCAGGTTAGGAATAGAGATGTTAATAAATCGTAGCATATCGATCATTAATACGGGACAGGATTAATGTTTCTCGAAGCTAGACGGCTGCAGACGATTAGGGATCTTGAAATTACAGTAGGCGGAGTGTTGCTTAACCCGAATGGAGACGTAATGCTCACCTTCCACTGTCTAGGATTACCATAGTCGATTTCGACCGCCGTCTGCCATGAAATCGCGGTATCGGTTTTTACGTGTTGCGCCATTTTTTCCTTTCCCTCCCCTGCCCCCTCCCCATCTCGCCTATCACGCGCCTATCACGCGTTCACGAGCCAAAGGACTAGTAGTATTTACAAGGATTTAATTCAATACTGGCCGTGAGAGGATTGAGACACGACACGATTTCTTACGGGGCGTAAAGGCATAAAGGGGCCTGCACACCACGATCGATCGATCGTGGCGATCGGGCGATTGTCGATATCTGCGAGGAAAGTCGCACCAAGTAGGGGACAGTTACGTTAAGATCGTAACGATCAATTGATTACTTCAACGTTTTTGGCCTTATTCTTTTTTTTTTCTTATATTTTTTTTTTTCCGTTTTCAATATTACGTATTTTTATGTTTATAAAGTGTGTAGTGTGTAATTTTAAAAAATTAGGTAAAATGTCGTTTTTTGCATTATTGCACAATATCGTATATTAAATGTATTTTTGAACAAAATAAATTATAACGATTGCATAAAAAATTATCTCGAAAGATATTTTTACTTTTTCAGAAACGCTAAAAGATATCAAAGTATTGATTGTCAAGTAATAAATAAAATATTGTCAGTGCTTCGACAGATTTTAATTTGTTTTTTTTTTTTTATTACTTGGAATAATTTTAATTTGAAAAAGAAACTAAAATATATAAAGAATACTAAATAATATATAAATACTATAATACTATAATATAATATATAATATATAATAAATACTATAATACTATAAATACTATAATATATAAAGAAACTATCCTTGAAGAAATTAATTAGAAGTCAATGAAATTTTATAATACAATATGCTGGAAAAATAGAAAGAATTTTTTTTTCGTGAATAATAAAGCAAAAAGCAACACGAACTTATGGAATGACTTAATATTTATTAAATATCGTTTGAAAAACTTTTTTCAAGAATTTTTTAACAATCAATCAAATCAATGTGTAAAGTATGGTCTCGTCGATATTTTTAACAATATTATTTTTCACCGTTAACGATCATGTGCGCTCCCCTTAAGAAAAGGGAGAGAAGAATCAACGTTTCGTCTCGACTTTTTCCCCTTTTGTTTCCACCATTGTTGTCCACCATTGTTAAGGAGATCCTTTTATATTTAAATTCGTCTCCCTTTTGCGTATCGAGCGAATCGAGAATTGGATATTACGTAACAAAGTTGGAAAGTAACGAAGAAACGTCCCCTTTTTTCCTCCTTTCTCATTTCATCGAAAAATATAGATTACCCTTTGATTTCTGCACCACATTATTCCCACGATCGATTTTTACTCGATCGTGCAAATCGTTCGATTTCCATTTCTCGCTCGTGATAAATAATATTCTTTATTCAACGACAGTGAAAGGGAAACGTGGATTCTTTCTTTCTTTTCTTTTTCTTTTTCTTTTATTCGTTACGAGATATTTATCTCTCGTTACGCGGAAATCGTAATACGATTTTTATAACGAAAAGAGAGAAGGAAGAAGATGGGAACTTCTTTTATCTTTTATTCTTTTTTTTTTTTCCTTTTTTTTTTTAAATCGTATTTATCGTATTCTCGTATTTATCATGTACTCAGCACTCGCAACAAAAAAATCTATACTCGATCGAGGATATTACGAGGAGATTAAGAATCGGTTTGCCACACTTTTCTGTTATTTGCAGTCTGGCGATTTATTTATCCCAGCGATTATCTAATCTAATCTTCCCGGTGGAGTGTAGATTTAAGATGCGATTCCGTTGTATCCTCAGTTTCGAAAGGAATTAAAAGAATAAAAAAAAAACATATTATTTTTTTTCTTAAAAAAATTCCAACTCTTAAAACGAAGCGGCGAGAAAAGGATAGAGCACGTAAAGCGAAATCGACTATTAGAAAATGGATAGAGTCCACGCTAATCTAATCGGGATATATCTAAAATGGCGCTTGTAAATCGTTCCAGATCGCGTTCACCTGCGAAATAGACGCAGCGACTCTCCTAACTACTGCTACACATCTCTCTCCCTCCCCTCCCCCCTCCTCCCTCCCGCCTCCCCTCTCTCTCCGTGTCGGTAGGTCTCTCGGTTACAAAAGAACACGTCGGTGAAGGCTCGACCGATATTGCTCCGTTGCACCCGGAATCTAACTATAGCGAACATATAGATCAAGAAGACGTTTCAAAGACGCGTGGTGGATCGGTTGGTTTCCGTGGCGATCCACACGGTTTGGAGAAGGCCGACCGATACGTGTTTCTTACAGCCGCCAAGAAGCCGCAGGAAAGTGTTCGTACGGTGTATGAAACGAGAGGAGAAAGAAAGAGCGAGCGAGCGAGCGAGCGAGAGAGAGAAAGAGAGAGAAAGAAAGAGAAAGAGAGAGAGAGAAAGGAGGAAAAAAATGGGCGACGAGGTATTCGAAGCCAATGTAAATCTTGGTTGCATGCAACGGACGATGCAGCCGCATTTTATTCGCCGGCTATTGCCTCGTATATCGAGTAACCATACGGGGGATTCATTGCGAAATGAAGATATATATACGCGTGCGGAGATCGGCTCACGGTGGGCTCTTCTCGTAATCACCCATCGTTCGCTTCATTTTTCATTCGGCCGGCCTCTCTGTCTTCTCCTTTCTATCCTCGTATTATGCGCGCATCTTTCGCGTGACGCGCTTTCATATTATCAAGATTTTCTTTTTTTTGGAGGTATTTTTCGAATACGATAGCTATTCGAACAATCGAGGGATAACAATTTGGAAATATACGATTCGTTTAAATTAGATAGTTTTGTGGAAAATTTTATACGATGATTAGTGGAGAGGTATATAAGTTGAAGTAAAGTATACAAGTATCTTAATGAATCATCAATGAAAAATAAATCACGAAAGAAAATTTTGGCGACGGAGTTTTAATGCGATTCTTCTTTCTTTCTCAAATCAATTCTCGTATTGCTTCTCTCTAATTACTTTTTTCTAACCAACAATTTAGTCTCTAACCAAATACATCTCTCTCTTTTCTTCTCAATCCTCAACCTACATCACCTTCAAATTCGATTCACCTATCAATTTCCCTCCTCAAATTTCCACCTTCCCTTCTCATTTATCCCATACAATTATTTTTCTTACGTTTTCCTTTCTCTTTCTTCACCTATCTTCACCTTCTCTCATCCCCCTTCGTCGAACCCTCTCACTTGTTCCTCTTTCATCTTATTTCTCTCTGGAGACCTCTGGTTCCACGGAGCAGTGTCTCCCTCTGGGACCCTCCCCTCCCTACCCGCCACTCTCTTCTTTGCTCTCGAGGCTTCGACCTGAATCGGTTGGGAGAAATTGCGCCCCGGGCGAGGGCGGATTCCTCTCCATTGCCGGTTGTTCCTTCAACTTTTTTATTCGACCGGTTACCCTCGATCCATTATAATTCGTTCTTACGTTTTTCGACCGGTCTCAATTGTACGTATCGATATTTTAACCAGCCTTGTTAATAATGTCTCGTTCGTTTCATTCTTGTCGTTTAAAGTTTCGAGAAGTATTCTTTTGAAGTATCATTTGATATTACGATCATGTAACAGTAAAAAAGAAATGTATTTTAAATGCAGTGATAAAAAGAGTGTCGAATAAAAATGAATGTTCGAGTTAATAAAATGTCGTTTAAACGTCGTAAAATTTGATATTTTTTTTTTTTTTTCTAAGAAAAAATTTCATGTTATTGAGCTTCAATTTGTTTCCAATATAAATTAATATTAAGAATATCTTTGTTATATATTTGACAAGATACTAACATTTAATATTATTTATAATATATAAATTAATTTTAATACTCTCAGGAAAGTATACGAACTCTTATGATTCGTTTAAAATTTATACAAAAAATCAAATGTTATACCGATATGCACTGACAATCAGTTGAGCGTTAATTGCCAATAAGATAAGAATAATTCGATTATTTGAGAACTAAAAAAATTTAATCAAATACGTAAAATAGTACATTTGATCAAAATTTCCAATCTTCCAAAATTCAAATTACGATTATTCACAAAAATCTCTCAACACTCCACTTCTTACCACCTAACCTCAAACATCACTTGCAAAGCGTCGCGTGCTCGACCCGTTTCTTCACACATGACGATCTACGTCGTAAATCACGCATCATTCCCGGCTTGAATTATATTCCTGGCGACAAGATTGCAGCGTGACGACCACGAGATACGGGCAACACGAATTGAAAACATTGTGATCGCGATTTCGAGCAGCTGCGCGGCTAAAAGTCATGGCTGCCCCAAACCTCTTTCACTTTATGGCTAAACGTTAAGTGCATTCTGTCGGTCAGTCGGATGTGTTAATGGTGACCGATCGATAAAGATACCATCGAAATTCACGGTGGTAGGTAAAAGGTTTTCCATATAAGCGATATCTAGGCGAATCTTGGAAACAGGGGAATCGATACAATCGTGAGTGTACGAAAAAAAGGAATAAAAAAGCTTGGAATAAAAAACTAAGGACACATGAAGGAATATATATATATATTAACTCGATAGGATAATCATTTTTGTTACTGTATTCTTTCGAATATTTGTATCATCTAAGAATGTTTAGAAATACATTATGAATTTTTTGTATAATGTAATGTATAATGTAATGTATAATGTAAAAAGACGCACTGAATGTATCACGCGATGAATAATATTCCTCTGTAAGATTAAAATGGTGAAAGAATATCGAATTTGAGAATTTTCGAG